TAAAGTGTTTAAAGTGTTTTTTGACCTTGCATGCATGTCAACCTGTTGGTTGGGGACTCCCAAAACCAACTTTCCACTTAAGAGTGTTTTTTTTTTTTTATCCATATTGATGTTTGTAAAGAATAGACTTTGAATCTATGTGAAAAATAATCAGTTTATATATTATTTTTTCTAAAATATTTGAGAATCATGGCAAAAAATAGCTTAAAAAAATCATACAATTTTTGAGCTATGTCAAATGGACTATTAAACGAATTGTCGCCATCCACAAAGTCTGAACGTAGCTTTGAAGTAGTCTTTTCTCTTTGCAGCAACTGATTTATTACTTTCCATGTGGTTTTAATATCATTTGAACATTTCTTAAATTTTTCAAAAATTTTTTTTTGCAGGTCTAAGAGAATGGTTATATATTCATTTATATAAGATTTATAGGTGAGAGGAGTAGGATTTAGAACATATTTTCTGTAAAGTTTGTTCTTTGTCCTCAACATTTTCCAGCTGTAAACCAAGATTTATAAAGTCCTGACTGAATTTCTTCTCAGAACTACTAACTGGAAAGCATTTATTAAAACTAAAACTAATAATGGTCATAAATTGTTGATATTGTTGATATTGTCAGATTATCCCTATTAGAAATCAAATCTTTAAATTTAGAAATATTTAACCTACTCATAATTCTCTTTTGCTGTACTGCTTTTGATAGTTTAACCCTGTTAACCCTAATTACAGAATAATGAAATATGGGGAAATGATTAAACAAGTTTGAATATAAAGCACCAGATTTAATTCTTTCACTTAGAGAATTTGTTAAAATGTTATCAATTAAAGTTGCTGAATTTTCTTTAAGTGCTGTAGGTTGAATAAGAGGAAAATAACTAGAATAAAGAATATTAAGAAAATCTGCAGTAGGGGTATCATATTTCTTTCTTAAGAGATTTATGTTAAAATCACCTAAAATATAACAGTATTTATGCTCATTGTTTATCAAATCAAGTAAGTTGCCCAAACTTTCATTAAAATCTTGAATTCTGGAATCAGGTGCTCGGTAAATAACACCAACAATAATATTTATTCCTCTAGAACCAACTAAGAGCTCGACAAATGCAGTTCTATCTGATTTTAAGGCAAGATCATCCCTAATTTCAAATTCATAATCTTCATGAACAAAACAAAGATACTCCACCTCCCAGTCTGTTAAAATAATGAACCGAGTTATATTTAGATAATTCAAAAATGTCTCTAGAATTCTCATTTAACCATGTTTCAGATTAAGCAATAATAAACTGGTGTTTCAGTAAAAAATAAATAATGAATGAAATTATCATAATTCCTACATAGACTTCAAAAAATACAATAAAAAAGTACAAAAAGTTTAAGCATATAATGATGAAAAAATTTTATATCTGGGTCAACATCAAAATAATAAGAATCAATTGTAGGGAAATCAAAGGGCTTAAAGGTCTCTTTGTTGGAATCAATATAAAGAGTAGTATACAATAACCTAATCAAAATACAATAAATAGCTGGTAATAAATATATTGAGCCAAACTCTGAACACTTGCCTTCCTTTGTTTTGGTGGATTTTGGGTAGGTGGATGAACAATAAGTTTGTCTATTTCAGATATGCAATGTCACCTCTCTCTCAGGCTGCCTTCATTGCTGGAAGTAATTCTCTCCTTCTAATATTATTATCTAAAGAAGCTAATTTTTGACTGAAGCCCTAAAAAAAAAAAAAAAATATCAACATGAATTAAAATTAAATGAATTAAAATTCAAGTAATTAAAAAACTGAAAACATGTTAATCATATAAGATGTGCCTTCAAGTGACTGTGTGAGCTGCATTATTATGTATTTTGGAAAGTATTTTTAACGTCAAGTCGTTGATTAAAAAAAAAAAAAAGTTCAATAAGTCCAATGAGAGAGAGAGAGACAGAGAGATACACTTTCTGCTCCTCCCTCTGTGAATCCTATAAAAACATGGGGCTCGTGACCACAGGCGCTCGGTGTAACCGCTGATCTTCAGGATGGCGACTCCTCTAACGGACCAGGAGAAGCGCAAGCAGATCAGCATCAGAGGGATCGTCGGTGTGGAGAATGTGGCAGAGCTGAAGAAGGGCTTTAACCGGCACCTGCACTTCACGCTGGTCAAAGACAGGAACGTCACGACGCCGCGCGATTATTATTTCGCGCTCGCGCACACGGTGCGTGATCACCTGGTGGGCCGCTGGATCCGAACACAGCAGTTCTACTATGAGGCCGACCCGAAGGTGAGTCCAGAAAAAAAAGTGGTAACTTTTGTTTGAAACTTTTAGCCACAGCTAAAATTAATTATCGAAATGTAATTTGGAAAAATTGGATTTGTATTAGGCCTACGTTAACAATATATCCTTTTATATAAATATAAGACAAATATTTTAACGTTAACTCAGACGTATTAATGATGATTTTGAACTGTTCTTGAACGTTTCTGTTTTTTGTCACTGTTATAAGCTGTCAGTCGGGTTAATTAAGTCTGGTGTAGGGGTGGACGATATGGCAAAAATATCATATCACGATTTTTTTTTCAGGAAAATCACGATTCACGATTTTATGATGATTCTTTGTCATGATGGTTTAACTATTTTGCAAGTTGTCTGAGCAGTACAGCCCAATTTCCCTATTTTAAAAACAAAACCTTACAAGGTAAAAATATAAAATAAAAAAGAATAGCAGACATTTAGGCTAGAGTGGGCAAAAATAAAAAATCTTTGTCATTATTTTATCTTGTTATCAAAAAATAAGAACAAAGATACACATGATATACAAATAAAACAAACAGTGCATTATTTTTCAGGTACAGTAGGTGTATTTAGTAGTAGCATTCAAGAAATTGAAAACAAACAAACATACAAAAAAATGCTGGGGTGTTTCAACCCAACTTTGGGCCAAATATGAACTTACCCAACTTTTGGGTTAAAATTTTAATGTCACAATTTAACCCAACAGCTGGGTTAGTCGATATTTGACTCAAAGTTGGGTTGAAAAACCCACAGCATTTTTTAGAGTGAATGAACAAATATAAAAATAAAACACTATAAACACTTCACTGTATAAGTTATGGATTCTTATTAAAGCAACTGTATTAAAGTTCTTCAGTCAAGAGCGTGCTACCGCCAGACCCGGAGATCGGCTGAATGGATTCGAAAATGGTAAAACTCAACTGTTTAACTCTAGGGGAGTTGGAAAATGAGCCTATTTTCAAAAATAGTGGAGTGTTCCTTTAAGACACGCATCTAATATACAGGCACGCATCTGTTTTTCTCAACGGTGTACTTTCACTTTAGACATAACCAACTGTGTTTATATGTAAACCTTGTGCGTTTTTGACAGTATTAGTGCAGTCAGACTCGAAAGATAACTTAGTCCAGGAATCAGGCACTGACAGGCTTTTAGTGTGCGTGCGCCGTTTCAACCATTATGTTTCAACGTGTAACGTGTAGGTGTTTTAATCGGTGAAACATAATACACAACAAGCAAATTTTATGGATTCAAATAATAAAATAAAACATTATATTTATTATGTATTTATTGTGATTTCCTGTCCTGGAAAACTTATGAAAATTCATACAATTTTAAACCTTCTGTTGTAAATGATTTTTTTCTAGTTATGCACAGCTTATGTAAAATCACTATAATTTTTTTTAGTAATGAAAAATCATTTGGCATAATTTGCACCCAATGCATAATGCAAGAATGCTCTGTTAGATTTTTATTTATTTATTTATTTATTTATTTATTTATTTTGTGTGTTCTATATATTTCTGTGTGCTTCAGCGTGTATATTACCTGTCACTGGAGTTCTACATGGGTAGGGCGCTCCAGAACACCATGATTAATCTGGGTCTGCAGAACGCCTGTGATGAGGCTATCTACCAGGTGAGAGAGGACTAAACACTTGTCCATCCATCTGTGTGTCTGGCTTTCTGTAAATCTCTCTTTTTCCTTTTAGCTGGGGTTGGATATGGAGGATCTGGAAGAGATGGAAGAAGATGCCGGATTAGGCAACGGAGGGCTGGGAAGATTAGCTGGTCTCTCTTTCTCTCTCTCTCTCTCTCTCACACTCTATACAAATAATATACCATAATATAAGTTAGCGATATTTATTGTGTGCGTGCGCGATCCACAGCTTGTTTTCTTGACTCCATGGCGACTCTGGGTCTGGCTGCTTATGGATATGGGATTCGATATGAGTATGGAATCTTCAACCAGAAAATCAAAGATGGCTGGCAGGTGAATTCACCCAGATTTCCTTCATTTATGCATTAAGTTCCCATATGCAAACTTCTGATGTCCTAATACAGTTAGCTATAGTAGTTCTTTCCCATATAGCAAAAATATATTTTTAGGTAAAAAAAAATTGCATTTCCACAACATTTTGGGTACTCTGCAATTTGCAATACTTGTAGGACAGTGTCTGCATAAAAATCAATGTATATGGGCCAGGAGTTCACTGCATTTGTGGTCACTGGCCTGGTGCATGTGAGCTTGTCACAGAGCTGATAATACTGGACCAATAGGGATCTTGTGCCAGCAGCAGTAGGCTGATAAGAAACAGCGGCTCGATTTATTTGCAGAAGGACAGTGATAATGGTGTGTTTGTGCAGTGAAAATGCTCATTTTAAAAAATAGACACATTTGAACTTTAACCTGCCCTAGATTTGAGTACTATGTCCTCCAGTGCAGATCGAAACTGGTGACCTCTTTCATCATCGCTATATCACTGTCTATTAGGTTGAGGAGGCGGATGATTGGTTGAGGTATGGTAACCCCTGGGAGAAAGCCCGTCCTGAGTTCATGCTGCCCGTGCATTTCTATGGCCGTGTAGAGGAAGAGGATGGGAAGGAGCCGAAATGGGTCGATACACAGGTATCAACACAGTTACACGAATAAATACACACTAACAAGATTGCGGTACCCTGGCCAGGTTTGTAATGCATGTTTGTGGTATAGGTGGTCCTGGCCATGCCGTACGACACGCCAATCCCTGGATACATGAACAACACGGTGAACACAATGCGCTTGTGGTCTGCGCGCGCACCCAACGACTTCAACCTGCGAGACTGTGAGTCATTCACACAACACATTACCAATCCATATTACATATAAGATAAACACAATAAAAGCAATTTTTGACTAAAGTCAGCTTCAAAATTAAAATGTACCCTGTTTCCTGGTCTTGTTGTGAACGATTCATGTCTTTATTTGTCTGTTTTCAGTTTAACCAGTATTTATCAATTTAAAATGGAATCTAATTAATGTTAAATATGAAATTATACTAATTTAAATTACTATCAAATATTAAACAGTCAATTTAACCAGTATTTAACCATTTGAAGTGGAAATTACTATTAAATATTAAATTAAATTGAAATCGCTATGAAATATTAAATATCAGACACCTGAAATCAGTGCCACTGGAATTTCTGTGGAATAATTCAATGACGGATGTTCTCTTTTCTTTTCACAGTTAATGTTGGTGATTACATTCAGGCAGTTTTGGACCGTAACTTAGCAGAAAACATTTCCCGCGTACTCTATCCAAATGACAATGTAAGTTTTTTCACCCTTTTTCTCTGAGTGCTCAGGCAGATTGAAGTTTAAATGGCTTTTCTGCATTTAAACTGTATTAATCTGCATTAGTTATTGTGTGCAGAAAATTAGGTTTCAATTATCCAGTGTAAGTGCATCTGATTCCAGATGAGATTGTAGCCCAAACACACTCTCCATTATGTCATTTTGTAGTTTGACACTGACACTGGAATTTGTGGGTGTTGTAGTTCTTTGAAGGAAAGGAGCTGCGGTTGAAGCAGGAATATTTTGTGGTGGCAGCGACTTTACAAGATGTGATTCGGCGCTTTAAGACTTCAAAGAGGAACTGCTCTGGACCGTTGTCATTTGACAGCTTCCCTGATAAGGTCTGTTTTTGCTATAAACTTTACACTAAACATCTCACTAGACCTGAAACAAGCATTCCACACTGTAATTCTGCAGGCACTTACCACCCACGCTAGTAACTACATTAGTGCTTTGCGTTTTGTAATGAACTTTTAAGTAGTGTACTTGTGTGATTCTGCGTGTGTGTGTGAGTGTGTGTGTGTGTGTGTGTGTGTGTGTGTGTGTGTGTGCCAGGTTGCTATCCAGTTGAATGATACTCATCCTGCTATGGCCATCCCTGAGCTGATGAGGATATTTGTGGACATTGAGAAACTAGACTGGGACACAGTAAGATTTATGAATAATTCATGATTGTCTAATTTTAATAATCCTGTGACACACACTTTTACTGACACAATAGAATAATAATGATAAAACATTCATATCATACGTTTTAAATGTTTAGTATTTTTACTATTGATTTTAAGATTCAGTATTCAGTAATGTTGAAGGAGGAAATTAGAAAACAAAAATTAATATAAAATGTTTACAAAGCCAGGCCTGAAAGCTTAAGCATATTTAAAAATGCGTTGAAGCTTTTATGAAATCATACTTATGTAATCTATGTACTTCAAGATTACGTCAGAACAGGCTAAAGGTCTCTTAAGAGGAGCTTGTAATTAATATTAGCTTGAATTAGCTTTTATTTTTAAATGTTCAGTTTTAGTTTTATGTTTATACTTTTAAGTACAGGTGCATCTCAATAAATTAGAATGTCGTGGAAAAGTTCATTTATTTCAGTAATTCAACTCAAATTTTCACAATTTGAGTTGAATTACTGAAATAAATGAACTTTTCCACGACATTCTAATATATTGAGATGCACCTGTATGTTTTAATATTAATATGCTTTTGTCATTTTTATTAGTTTTTTATTTCTATATACAGTGGCTTTAATTCGTTTTTATTTAAAGGTCCCGTGACATGCTGCTTTTTGGATGCTTTTATATAGGCCTAAGTGGTCCCTAGTACTGTATCTGAAGTCTCTTTCCCGAAATTCAGCCTGGGCGGGCCAAATTCTCTGGGCGGGCAAAGCAGAGAAAGGGGAGGTAACCTTTCCCCGTATGACGACATAAAGGGAAGATTCCGGATTGGGCCATCTGAGCTTTCATTTTCTCAAAGGCAAAGCAGGATACCCAGGGCTCGGTTTACACCTATCGCCATTTCTAGTCACTGGGGGACCATAGGCAGGCTAGGGGAACTCATATTAATGTTAAAAAACCTCATAAAGTGACATTTTCATGCCATGGGACCTTTAAGTTTTAGTTTGATTACATTTAGTTTTTCAACTTATTTCAGTTAGTTGCTAGGGCAACATTTCTATTTTCTAATCTTATAATTAAGAATTTTTAAGTCTTTTATCTAATAAATATTATTTTATATCAGCGTTATTCTAATTATTTTTAATAGTTTTAGTTGTAGTTAACAACAACAACAACACTGGTTAGGGCAGACTTTTTTTTTTTGTACAGTCAGTCGATTTTGTCGAAGCAACATGATTACTGAAAATAAGTTCTTCTGTGTGAGTATCTAGGCCTGGAATATCACTAAACAAACGTTTGCATACACAAACCACACGGTTCTGCCTGAAGCTCTGGAGCGCTGGCCGGTCGAACTGATGGAGAAACTTTTACCCCGACACCTGCAGATCATATACAGGATCAACCAAATACACTTGGATGTGAGTACACTTACAGGAAACTCAGGAAAACTGCATTTACTTTATTATTTATAAGCCATTATCCAGTTGAAGACAGCTCTAACGGTCCAAGTAGAGGATTTGTCAATTTAAGTAAACTTTTGTGGATGAATTTGCACACTTACATTTAGAGCAGCAACCAAATTAATGTTTTTGTATGTATATGTGTGTGTGTGTGTGTATGTGTGTGTGTGTGTGTGTGTGTCTTTGTAGCATATAGCATCTCTGTTTCCAGATGATATGGATCGAATCTGCAGGATGTCTCTGATCGAGGAGGAAGGGGGAAAGAGAGTAAACATGGCTCATCTCTGCATTGTGGGCTCACACAAAGTCAATGGAGTTGCAGAGATTCACTCCGACATCATCAAAAGAGACGTGTAGGCTTCTCTTTCTTGCTCTCTTACATACATACAATGCTACAATGTTTTTTTTAACTGACTTTAAATTTTGATCCTTTAGATTCCGAGACTTCAGCGAGCTTGAACTGGAGAAATTTCAGAATAAAACAAATGGCATCACACCACGACGCTGGCTGCTTCTCTGCAACCCAGGACTCGCTGATCTGATCGCAGAGGTCCAACACACACAGTGTTTTTATAACATATTTTTTCAGTTTCCAAAAAAAAAATTTTCATATGTGTTGTTTGTGTGCTTATAGGCTATTGGTGAAGAGTATGTGAAAGATCTAAATCAACTGCAGAAGCTGAATGATCTGGTTGACTACGATGCTTTCATCCGAGATGTAGCCAAAGTCAAACAGGTTAGAAAACACACACTCCTCCCATGTCAATAAATTTGTAGATCTTATTAATCTAGGAGATAATGTCTTTGTTTTTTCCTCCTCTTTATATAATTGTTCACTACTTTTGAGGTACTTTTAGGCATTTCTGACATTTCTGAAATTAGTCAAAAGATTGGGTCATTTTAATTCTTAGTGAGTTCCAGTTCATTTTTGGCGCGTTTCATTGTGTGTGTAGGATAACAAGCTGAAGTTTGCACAGTATTTAGAGAAGGTGTACAAGGTGGACATAAATCCCGCATCCATGTTTGATGTCCATGTGAAAAGAATCCATGAATACAAACGACAGCTGCTCAACTGCCTCCACGTCATCACCATGTACAACCGTATGTTCAGAAACGCAAACACACACTCGCACACATTAATTAAGCTGTGTCATTTTATTTAATGTTTTAGATACTCCTTTAACTAAACAATGAACATTTTGTAATTATTGACTTATCTTTGGCTGACTTTCTTCTGTGCAACACAAAATAAGATACTGAAGAATGTTTCAACTGTTTCACACACAGGCATCAAAAGGAGCCCCATTAAACCGTTTGTACCACGGACTGTGATTATCGGTGGAAAGGTAAAACAAACAACCTTTTCTGAACACACTCACATGCACTGATTTGCAATATGTACATGTTCAAAAGGTTTAGGGTTAGTAAAATGATTTAATGTTTTTCAAAGAAGTCTCTTATGCTGACCAAGGCTGCATTTCTTTGATCCAAAATACTGTAAAAATATTATCACAATTTAAAACAAGCATTTTCTATTTTAATATATTTTAAAGGGGTCCTATTATGGTCTTTTACAAAGTCTTGATTTTGTTTTGGGGGTGTACTAGAACAGGCTCTCATACTAGGTTGTTCGAAAAACACATTATTTTTCACATATTTTACATTATTACAACACCTCTCTCCCCAGTCTGGCATGAACGAC